TCCCTCCTAATTCTGCCCTACGCTCCCAAAAGGGGAGGGGCCTGAAAGGACAGCTAAATGCACAGCAGTCCATTTCCACCAGGCCCAACAACAAGAGCAAGGCTGCTACCAGAGCATCTTAACGTGTCAGTCACGTTCTTGCGAAACACATGAAGTCTTTCAAAGACGGCGAAGTTGTGAAAGAAGCATTCCTGGAGGCTGCCGACGCGCTTTTGGGGACAGTAAAAAACAGTAGCATTTCAACAGGTTTTTGATAAAAACTCAAGTTAGATACCGTTATTAATCAGCTGTACGTTTTAGTTTGTTTGAACTTATTCATTATAATTATTGTACAAAATGGTATAAGAATGCAAACTTAAATTGATTATAGTCTATTATCAATTCAGGTTAAGAAACTAGTGTTGCTTGCATCCTATTTTAAAGGCATTTCTTTTTATAATCTACTAAAATGCAACAAAAAAATGGTTTGATTTTATTAATTTTGTCTTTTTTATTGCACTGTTGCAGCAGATTCCTGTAGCTTCAGATCTCAGTTGTCTTATTAGTAAGCCTCATTTATACTTTTGTAGCAACACTATTTTTATATAATGGCAAAGAAAGGGTTCAGAGTATTTTCTTTTTTTCCTGTGTCATATGTGGCAGCACTGTTCAATGTTTCTTGAAAACATTACCCACTGTAGTATGTGACGTGTGAATAAACTCCAACTCTGTATCAACAACACTGTTGTGTAACTTCAGTTAAATACTTGTATGTGTGTAGACTAGAAAGAGGTAAGATAAAGGATCTGCATTATTTTATGGAGTATTAATCGTACGAAGGTCAGTTTTATACAAGTAGAAGTGTGTATTTACCTGGTAGTAGGCTACGCCTCTCTATTTGGACTGGTAGATCTCGACAGACTGTCAACTTTAAAAGTAGCTCTCGGTTCAAAAAAGGTTGGGCACCCCTGGGTTAAACCAACAGGATCAATTGTGTGAATACGACAACTGTATACGTATTGTAAGATTTCATATTGTTACTTTTTTAAAGCAAGCCAGGCCAAGCTGTTTGCAAATGCCTTAAGTATTTAGGCTAAGCTATGCTAACATATCCTGGCTCTCGTATCTTTTGGAAAAAGTAAAACAAATCTATATTTCCCAGATTTATTTAGGACACAAAGAGGGAGTAGAGAGAGCTGAGAGATAAAGGAGGGAGTGTCTAGCGTATTATCTGTTCAATCATTGTCTGAGAGGGGGACAAAAAGCCAAGAAACAGTATAATAGGCAGAGTGAGTTGAGCTAAGGCAATACTAAGAAAGGTATTGAGGTGACGTGATCCGAGGATGGAGAGGATATTTTTTGCACTGTGATGCCAAGAATTGTCCCCTGGCAGACAGCGTTATAGATTTACCTTGAGTGAGCCCAAGATAGCTGATACCCTGCCTAAAACATTATGCTACAAACTGAGAAACTGCTGATGTCACCCAATACACACTATAGTAGGCTACAGCAACACGTTTCCTTCACCTGTTGCCTTAATAGAGAAACCGTAAATCTGTTATCACACCGGCTCAAACTCAGCCTCAAGGTCAAACCTCCCTCTTCCATTCTCTTAGCATTCAAGCTATTCAGATTCCTCAATGTAAGAATTTAGAAAGAGTGCAGCCTTGAATTCCTCTCAGTGTTTGATGAAGCAACATAGTCTCACGGCATTTCTATTGATTCATGTTCACCAACACGATTTTCGCATTTTTTTCTTCTCACACAGAACGATTTTAAAAGCAATGTAAATAATAACAAATTAGAAGGAAAAAGAGATTTAACAAAATACAGATTTCAGTATTCTGAGACAGAACGATTTTAGAAGCAATGTATTTATATTGGTAGTATGTTTCGTGCTTGCACCAAATAATAACAAGTTGGAAGGAAAAAAAGATTACAAAAAATACAGATTTAGTTTTCTGAGGCTCTGAGCCATTTATTTTCCTCGCGGATGGCAAAAAAACTCGGACATTATACTATTTAAAATAAAAAGGTTAGGGTTAGGCTTAGGGTAAGATATTGAGTAAGAAAATGTTTTTATGAACCACACAGCTTCCGGTCTTCCAAGACCCGACAGGACAAAAAGACGTGGTGCAGGCACGAAACATACTACCAATAGAAATACATTGCTTTTAAAATCGTTCTGTGTGACACGAAAAAAATGCGAAAATCGTGTTGAAGAACACGAATCAATAGATTAAATTGATTTCGTGACTATAACTCGAAATGTCGTGAGACTGGGTTGGATGAAGGCACGTCATTATGCAGCATATCTATTACACAACCCACATGCTGAGGAGGATCAAAGCATTCAAATGGATGCCTGTGTAAGAGCTCGGGTCTAATGTAATTTACAAGATTGGTAGAAACCATGCCAAAACAGGAATGGGATTAATTACAAATCCATTATCGTTTCCTTGTCCCTAAAGAAAATACTTCTTCGACAGTCACTTATATAATATCTAAACAACACTTAAAAACTGGTAAAGGGGGGACTGTCCTCACCACAGAAACAACACAACTGTAAATTGTTTGTTAAAATGTACCTGACAAGGGCATATTATAATCTTAATCTCTATGCAGCAATGGCAAAATGACATTATTATATTGCTGGTTGGGAGAACCAAGTTTTGGAAAGCCATCAACAAGAAAAATGCATGTACAAAGAGGAAGTAGTCACCACAACGTTAACAATGGGTTTGTGGTCTATGGTTTTGAAGCCTTGACATCACTACCTTGTTTTTTTGGAACCAGAAGTGACAGAAAAAAGGGTGGGGCAACGTTTTTGGGTGAGAACATTTCTCAAATGTTCTTGCCTAAAGAAAATGAGAAAATAATTAAACTTCTTAAACAAAAGCTGGGACAACACCCAAACTGGACAACAGTGTTTGGGGACCTGTCAATCACAAGGGAACCAGGCATTACATTACATGACATGTAATTTGTTAGATGCTTTTATCCAAAGCGACTTATTAAGTACTGTGGACAATCCCCACAGGAGCAATTTGGGGTGAAGTGTCTCAGGGACACAACGACATGCTGACTGCAGTGGGACTCGAACTTGCCGCCCAAAAGGCAAAAGGCAAAAAAGCTAACGATTGTCCGTTTGACTCTAAATGGGACCATCACTTACAAAAAATACTGAATTGAAGACTGGCAGTCAAGATCATATATCTATTAGTAAATTGTTTGCGGAGGTAATACATTACTAGACTTACAAGAGTCATAATTACTACAAATGTGTCACTTGAACATAAACATGTTGTTTTATAGCATTTGTTGAGTAAGCATTATGCTTGCTTTAACGTTAGCCTCAGTAGCTGTTGTAACAGATGTTACACATTCATATGCCACTTACATTACTTGTCAAACGCCCCCACCAAAGTATTTACACCAATGATATTAGGGAACCTGACCAAGTGAATGAGGCAAACTGTAAACTCTGGGTGTGACGCAGCGTTGGGTGGAAACCTGCATCCCCCTAGAAATAGCTCTACCGGAGAGGCTGGTCAGATAGCCAAGGATAGTAATCAAAGTATTCACTCTGAACATCATCATCTTTTCTTATAAGATGTTTGAGAGGGTTACACTTGTTTAATTTATTACGTTTTTTAAGCAGTGGTACATTTTAAGAAAAACAATTAAATTCTCTTCCGGCTTCTCCAGCACTGAACTAGTACCACACAATCCTCTTGACTTGCTGTGACCACGAGAGGTGACCTCTATATCAATGTTGACCTTGATGCAAATGAGGTCACTGGTATTGACTGTTTGTGACAGGTGGCTAACCCCAGACTAATGATAGCCAGGGGTTAGTTAGTACACACACACACACACACACACACACACACACACACACACACACACACACACACACACACACACACACACACACACACACACACACACACACACACACACACACACACACACACACACACACACACACACACACACACACACACACACACACACACACACACACACACACACACACACACACACACACACACACACACACACACACACACACACACACACGTCAACAAAGTTATGAAAACACTTTTTGAACTGTTTTGTCAAATTAAGCTGCATTGAGAAATAATATTGATTTCAAGTGTGACCTATTGATCATCTTATGCATGTTTGTGTGTGTCTTGACTGTGTCCTTGCACAATGACGCATGTGCACTCACACACACACACAAATAACTCACAGCTATCCGCAGGGCGTGACTGTTACATTCACACACGTTTTGCTTTACAATATCCTGAAAACACACTTTATCAGATGAAGGGGAGATTATGCAGGGGAGGTGGGATTTTAAAGTGTTGACATAAGGAAAAAATGTCTCATACAAGAAAGTTAACATGGAGATGGAGAGGGGTGACTGAGGACAAGACTCACACACACACGCGCGTCCTATCAAAGAGGTAAACCTGAACATATACGGTGGTTCTATTACAAAACAAAAAGTGTGTCAGAGTGATTAATGGATGCTTTATTCAAAAAACTAAAGACAACAATGATGTGAATCCAATGGAAACATTTTAGAACTCATCAGGGAACGGTCTCTTTCACATATTAATAACAACATCGCTGCCTAAAATACCAATCTGCCCTCCATAGCTTAATCCTGTTATCTTTTTATTTTCTGCCCTGTCTGTGCGCTCTTCTCATCCATCTTTCTCTGTCTTTTTCACCCTCCCAGAATTCCCAATGGGACCAGCCTCTAATCACACTGGGTGTGTATGTGCATGAGTGTGTGTGTGTGTGTGTGTGTGTGTGTGTGTGTGTGTGTGTGTGTGTGTGTGTGTGTGTGTGTGTGTGTGTGTGTGTGTGTGAAGAGGCTGCATCATGACAAAAGAGACTCCACCAGACCAATGCGTCTCAAGCCTCTCTCTCTCTCCCCTGTGGCGGCTCTCATTCCTCCATTTCTTTCCTGTTTTCCCCAATGCCTCCTTCTCCTCTTTCTCTACCTTTTTCTTCAGCTCCCGGGAACGCTTCCTCGCTGCCTTCTTCTTCTCTTTCTCATCCTCCACAGCGTTGATGTTCTCATCCGCCTTTTTCTTCAGCTGCGAGGCGGCATGCGCCATGCTGCTCCAGCGCAATTAATCCTCACAGGTGGAAGGAGGGATGAATGGATGGATGGAGCGTGGACCCAAAGTCTCCTCTTTAGCCTTTTCTTCCCAGCTCCTGGTTATCTTTGTGTTCCTCCTGTATCCTCAGCTGTGCTTTTGTCAGGGAAGGAACCCTCACAGGTGTGTGAGAGGGAAGGCTTTCCCTCTTCTCCTTTACAAGATTCCCCTCTTTCTTTTGTTCTGTTCTTCCCTCAGCAGCTATCCACTCTGCTCAGACGCAAAAGTTCAGTTCAGGGCAGGGCACAGACAGCACTCCTCAATCTCCAGTGCTGTGAAGGCTTCCACTTCTCAGCGCAAAGTGCAAAAACAAGTGCAAATGATAGCAAATACAAAACAACTATTTATTGATATGGTCCACAGCAAGTTGAGATGGTCCCTTTGATCAAGAATAACGAATATGAAAACAGTGACAGGTAGAGCTCCAGGGTTGGAGGTCCAAGAAGGGGCTCAATATCCAGCCCCTATTCCAGCAGAGTGCTCTGTGTGATGGATAAATAGACTGCTGCCTGCTCCACTGGTTCCCACAGCCTGCTGCCTGCACCTGAGCCCTGAGCCATCTTCTATGTACACGCTCTGTCCGCGACGTCTCGCCGGGACATGTGAACAGGAGGGGAATGACGGTGGAAAGGAGGTTGAGAAAGGAGTAGAAGGTGGGGGCGGATGAGGAGGAGGAGGGGTGAGAAAGGAGGAGGCAGAGAGAGGTAGAGAGAGCAGCTGGGACAGCAGAAAAAAAAGGAGGGAGTAGGGATGGATGAATACCTCTGCTTAGTACCAGCTGGCATTGGCTGGGAGATACAGAAAGGGAGGAAACACACACACACACACACACACACACGGTGTGGAGAGTGCAGTAAGTGTGCTGCCATGATGCTCTTGCTATAAAACTTCTATTGCTCAGCCTCTTCCCTGCTTGATCACAAGTGTTCTTCTCAAAACAAGAGCTGACGAGGAATTCATCTCTCACAGATCTATAGTGTGTCATAAGAGTTTTATATATTTTGTAACTGTCTGAAGTGTGTATTGTAAAATGATACAGCCATTAATAACAATCAATAATCAGCATAGTATAAACTCCATTTTGCTGTTACATTGCCATGAGACACACGTATGTTTAAATGAACTGGATTAAAGTGAGCATCGCCTTGCTTTAAGGAGGCAAATGACTATTGACGGCTACAGTTTGTAAAACGGCTGATTGATTAAAAACAGTTGCAGTTAGTTAACTGGATGCGCGGGGCAGGAAGCAACATACAGTGGATATGTAAATAGTTTAATTGAAAATGACTTGGGAAAACCTAAAACATAAAGAATGTTGTTACATGCAGGCTGCTGTGCACTTATGGATACATTATTAAGATGCTGATGCATTATTCATAATAAACCGATATACTCTGATATGCTACAATCATACCTTAAGGGGATGACAGTATAATGTCTCTGTAATTAGCTACCTTAGGGGGGGGCTCCAGCCCTAAATGAATGAGAAGTACAAATCCAAAGTGTTGCCTAAGGTGACAAAAAACACATTGAAATATAACAAAGCATCATGAAATAATATCACTGAACAATTTGAAATGGCAAGATGTTCTTAGAAGATGCTTACATATTTCCTCGATGTAATTTACAGTTTTCAGTTTGTGTGTGCTTATCAATGCATCGCTGCATGTTTTTAATGTATCATTGTGTGTGTGTGTGTGTGTATGTGTATGTGTATGTGTATGTGTATGTGTGTGTGTGTGTGTGTGTGTGTGTGTGTGTGTGTGTGTGTGTGTGTGTGTGTGTGTGTGTGTGTGTGTGTGTGTGTGTGTGTGTGTGTGTGTGTGTGTGTGTGTGTGTTTGTGTGTGTGTGTGATGAGCTCATGTCGGTAGACTGCAGCCTTTGCATATTAACAACAACGGAGAGGGGATGGGAATAGTGACAGTACAGCAGGCTTGCTATTGGCTGTTTGGGATGTGAGAGGGCTGTAATTGGCTACCTGGAAAGGGAGGTCCCACCCCCAACCTCACAATAACAAAGAGAAGAGGAGAGGATGTCTCAACCACAAGCGTTTGATAGTAATTACATCTAGTATTATGGTATTTAAAGTGGCAAATATGGTAAGAAGAGCCTTCTGTTGGGCTTGGAGACGATTTATCACAGGAATAATATCACGGATGTGTGTAACCGTTAAGTGTAACTGCCAAGCTGCTATACAGCGTGTGGCCCAGATATTTCCCTCTGGGTGTGAGCCAAACAGTGAGTGAACATTTGGACATGACATTAACTGCAGTGTGTAGTGTAAACAACACTCTACATGTAATTGACCTGTACATGATCACCATGTTATTATCTCCTCTAAATAACACTCAAGCTAATCGCCCAAAAGATAATAGATGTATTACAATAAGTATAATCCGTTTCTAAGGTCAGTCGGTCCAACATTGTGTTCTCGACTGAAATATCTTGACAAGTCTTGGATGGATCCACAAGAAATGTTTTAAAGAGATTCATAGTCCCCAGAGCATGAACCCTTCTGACCTAATCCCCTGATGTTCCCTTTAGTGCCACCATTTTGTCTCAGCAACAACTGTTAGATATATTTCCATGACACATTCATGTCACTGTAAGGATGAGTTGTAATATCTTTGGTGATTTATTAACTTTTACAGTTTAAATTGTCCAATACCTTTGAGCTGCAATAATTACAAATCCCTTTCAGCACCAGGTTTATTTTGTGTTTATTGCAAATTATCTAAAGTTTGCCCGTTGGCACGTTATTCTAAGATAGTTGACGTGGTATACATGCTAAACATTAGCATCTTAGCATGCTAATATTAGCAATACGCTCAACGCACTGTAGACCTATTGTGAAATGAATGTGTTTGTTTCCGAAAGTGAGGTCATAAGAAATATTGTTATGCTAGTGTTAGAGAAACAAACGATTCCCAATTATAATACTGAAGGTAAAAGGAATACACAACACCACAGCCACTAGAATGATAGGCTGGTTTAAGAGCAGCAGGTCAGATATTCAACTAAACCTGACAGATGCTGTTATCTGTATACAAATAAGAAGATGTATCATGATGTCAACATGGTTACCTAAAGTTGACATTATCTTCCCTGGAGTGGGCTCACTGTTTTGTGACATGTGCTCAAACAGCCTTAAAACACAAAGTGAAATGTTGGCCTGAAGCTAATCGCAGGCCAAACTCCAGTCCCTGCACCATCATAAGTCATCAGTCAGTGAAAGGCTTCAGACAGGATTTATTGGACTAATCCTTTCTTATCTCCATCTGCAAGAGGAGCTTATGATGTGGATGTACTATCCTTTAAAGGCTCTCTGTCTGTCCTGAAACTGGGATTAACAGCAGGTGATTCCTACATGGATCAGAAATGATAAACGAGCCCGACAAAAGATGATTATGTTTAAAGGTTGAAGACTTTGGCTTGCTGTCTCTGGTGGCGTCTTCCCAGCCATACTTGACTGTCTCTTTCCCTCGCAGTGTCTCTGTTCAAAGGAAACAGCAACCTCCGGAGTAATGTCAGGCTCCAGATGTGGGTCAGCAGCAAAGATGCCAGTGTTGCTATATTTCTTTTTTTATTATCCGCTGCCTTCCTGTTCCCTTTTTTCTCGTTTCTGCTCCGTCCGTCCTTCATCAATCTCGCTGTCTCTAAACAATGCTAATGCTAACCATCGCCTGCAGCAAACTGCTCAGTGCATACAGCCGTGAAACTGCAGTTAATCAAGTCCTGAGTAAGTGTGTGTTACTGGCCTCCGCAGGGGAGGAACAATACCGCACTGTTGGAGAGGAGGAACACTGTGTGGCCTTTAGGGGGAATCAGAAACATGAGGCTCTTTTCATGGATGTACTGCAACAACTTCATGTAATATTCTCAGTTGGAAAGTTGATCATCAAACAATGTGGCATTTCTGATATGTTATGTTGCCAACCAAAGGTCCAAAACCCAAATATATCAATATGATTGCTGCAATAAATCAGAAAAAATCTACATTCAATAAGCTATAAATGTTTAATATTGTTGCTACAATGCTACATTAACGATTTATCGACTAGACTTCTTGTTTCGCAAAGATAATATTAGAGATTGTTTCTAGCTAAATAAACAACATCAGGTTTTTTACCAAGGTGAACTTACGACCTGCAACCAACAAAAAACCTGATTAAGAGATATTATTTGTATCCAATTATAAGTTGAATAATTTGTGTTTGTTTATAATCTTGATTTAATGTCAGAAATGTGAAAATACCCAACAATACAAAACAGTTAGAGTTAAATATTGAAAATGTAGTTCTGTTTCCACTAGTCTGACTGTGTGCATCTCAAAGTGCTGCTTTATACAGGGCTGTGTTGGAGGTTTATTTACAGATATACATGATCAATAAAGCAAATATATAGAGAACATTTCTCCAACAGTTGAAACAATTAATAAGTAATAATAACAATAATACACAATTAATTTTCTATTGTTTCTCTATTTGAACAAACAACCTGATCCGTCAAGCCTTGAATATGGAACACAACATAGTCAGGTGCACGCTTAGACACACACACACACACACACACACACACACACACACACACACACACACACACACACACACACACACACACACACAGTTGGTTGTTGTTTGTGCCTAATGGATCCGGGACGGGCCGCCCAACCAGAGGAAGGGAAGAAAGAGTGTGTTTATGAGTTGTGTGTGTGTACGGGAAAAGATGAGATTGATCTGCCGTGAGTACAGCTTCCAGTTTCAGTCAAAACCTGGGTGAAGTTGACCCTATGAATTTACCTCCTTTATTTGTCTTTATGTTAATCACTACAATAAACTGTATTAAATTGTTTACACTACAATACTTAATTTTACATTTGTTGTCCTATATATATATATTAGGGATGGGAATTTGAAAGCAAATGTATATTAGAATATTCGACCCTCAAAAAAACGGTTAACCGATTAACCGAAATGTACATATCCTAAAAAATGTGGGGAAACATTTTACAAAAAAAAAATACATGTTCAAATAAATACAGAAACCAAGTGGAATTTGTCAAATGTATAAAACTGGTGATCACAGTTTGAACAGTTGACAGCTATAGGCCTAAGCTTTCATGCTTAAAACATAACTTGGTTTTTAAATGAAAGAGGGATCATACAACACGAACAACATAACGGGTCAGGGTAACGTAACCCTATTACAACAGAGATCAGCAACCTATAGCAGGGCCTATGCACAGAATGCAGCTATTCAATACTCATTCTTCTTTAAGAAGCATGTCTACTCAGGGGAGAGGCGGGTGCGGAGGCGATTCACAATCAGGCCAGCTGTAGAGAAGACCCTCTCAGCTGGAATTTGGGCATAAGATGAGGTTTGAGTCTGCGTGATCTGCGTGTAGGGAGGGGCAGCAGCCATATCGTTAGCTAGAACTAGCTAGATCTGATGGATTTGGACATAAACGCGAGTGAAGTATAACCGGACGCGAGAGAGAGAGAGAGAGAGAGAGATCACCTGCAGCTCTGCCCGCTGTGAGGGACCGGTGATCGGAGCAAAACACACCTTTAGACCTAACACACTTAGCTATGGCACTGTCG